TTTTGCGGGGCTGCTTACTCTTTGCTATGGCAGCCGGCGTAGCTTTTCACTTCCACTTAGAGCGACGGCCAGGGCACCCGGATGCAGTTGAGGATGGAGCACAGTGTTTAACGTCCGCTCAGCACCAGCCGCAGAAATCGACGATCGCTTCTTGTCGCAATATTCGTCGTGACGTAGCTCAGAAACCTGCGAGACCTTGGGAGATTCACTCTTGAAGCTCTGTGATTTTCTTTTCTTTTTTTTTTTTCTTTGCTAGGAAGAGCACGGGACACGGGGCAGCTACCACAGAGTGCGCAGGCGTCCGGATCTGACCATCCACATGCGATTCCCATGCGTCCCCCAGCGCTGCTCCAGAGCCCCCCGGGACTGTGTGGGGTCAGGACCCGCGCCCACGGGACTGGTAAAAAGAAAGTCTGTCCTCTGCAGCTGTATAATCATTTTCTGTGGCATGTAATCCTGGACGAATGGAGTTGCCTCTGAGAAACTGATAGCTCTTGCCTGCGTTCTTAAGATGTAGCGTTAGAAAAGGCTTTTTATTACGGTGGATCTGCTCCTGCTCCCACGGATTGCAGCGGGTCCTCGGGAAACGGGCGAATGGCTCAGTTAAACTGTCTCCGGTTCATTTAGAGGGAGCAGATGCCCCGGAGCCTGCGGCTGATCGCTGCCGTTGTGCCATTTCCTGAGCCTCAGCCGAGGAGCGAAGGGCACAGCAACGCCGTAACTCGCCCGCTCGGCAACGGGAGATTACATACGGGGGCTCCCATCCCCAGCTGCGCTTGCCTTCTGCCTCGGGGGTCCCCCAAGAGGTGGGCTGTGCTCAGAAGGAGAGAGAACGAGCAAGGCTCCCAGTTTGCACGGGCCCAGCCTGGAAAAAACCCACAAAACCAACCAACGCTGTAGCAATTTTGTCTATTTTCTTCAAAAGGGCTGGGCAAGGCTCCCTGGGGACTGTGGCAGGCACGGCGCCGGTGGGGAACCGTGATGCCGGCAGGGCGGATGCAGGTAGCAACTATCGGCCTCGGTAGCGGCACTTCAAACCCAGGGCGTTTCGCCAGCCTGAGCTGGGGGTGCTGGGCAGGGACGGGGATGGGGATGCTCCTCGGTGGCGGTGGCTGCTGAGTAGAGCCGACGTGGCTCCTCAACCTGGTGCGTGCCGCGGGCACGGTCCCACGAGCGCGGCAGGAGGGGAGGGTTTCATCGACACCACGCACTTTGGTGGCTGCCAGCACGCGGGATGCAGAGGGCGGGATCGCAACCTCTGCCTCTTCCCCCGGCTCCCAAAACGGCGTCGGGTCGATCTGCGGAGGGCTTGCTGCCAGGTAGAGCCGACGTGGCTCCTCAACCTGGTGCGTGCCGCGGGCACGGTCCCACGAGCGCGGCAGGAGGGGAGGGTTTCATCGACACCACGCACTTTGGTGGCTGCCAGCACGCGGGATGCAGAGGGCGGGATCGCAACCTCTGCCTCTTCCCCCGGCTCCCAAAACGGCGTCGGGTCGATCTGCGGAGGGCTTGCTGCCAGTGCGGTGCCCTGTCATCCCTGGGGTGGGGAAGCCATTGGACCTCCAGCTCACAATCCAGCAGTTATCTCCTTTTACGTCTTGAAACAACAAAAAAAGAAAATTTATTTGCTGCTGCTGAGCAAACAGTGAGGGATTTTTGCAACAAAGAGGCCAGCGGGTGCCTGCTCCTACGCCGGTGGGCAGCTGTTTTCAGCCCTGAGTACGAGTGTTTGGGTGCTCCCAGCCCTGCGGAGTCACCCAGGACCTCGGCAGGATCACGGTGCAGATGGTCCGTGCTGGCGTCCGAGTTCTGTGGCCTCTTCCGAGGGGAAAGAAGATGCCGATGAGCGCAGGAAGCGGTGGCTGCAGTTCTGGCAAACGGAGAAGGAAAGGGCTGCGTAAGGGCGGGAGGGAGGTGGGGATGCCTTGGGGAAGCAGCCGGGCTGGAGACGGTTCTTGCCGAGCTGGGATGTGGTCCCTGGGACCCTGCCAGCACCGGCTGGGAAGTGCAGGCAGCCCCTGACTTGATGGGCAAAATCCATGTTTGTTCCCGCTGCTTCTGCACCCCGGAGCTTGTGGCGATGCAGCGCCTGGCAGCCTCGAGGCCCCATCCCAGCACATCCCCATCCCGGCCCGGCCCCGGCCCTGCTGAGCCCGCGCTTCCCTTTGTGCCTGAAATCTCTGACTCATCCGTCTCGTGGCCGGGGCCGAGCTGCTCCACTCCAGTGCAATCCCCGGCGTGTGGCAGGGGCAGCCGCCTCCTCGGCATTTCTGTTCCCCTCCGTGGTGGCAGGAATTGGCCGCTTCTCCTCCCGCTCTGACCGGCCTTCCTCCTGCTCAGCTTCAGCGGAATCCCGGCCCGAGGGCCTTGGCGCAGGGGTTTAATCTGCCTCTGGTTAGGACCTGCCCTGCCCTGAGGGGAAAAATGCGCAGTTGTGTCCCTGCCGGGGATGGAGATGGCCCTGGGCTGGCTGGCTGCTCCCCAGCTCCCCGTACGCATCCCTGCCTGCATGCTGGGACCAGTTTACATGCCTAGGGTAGTGCACAGACCTTTTCCCAGCGCAAGCTCTGGGAATCTGGTCTGAAGCCGTAGATGAAGTCGTTGGCGCCAGTTTTCAGCATGTGATTTGGCAGCAGCTGCACGTTTTGCTCCCTCCGCAGGCTGGCAGCGTGGGCTCGACCCGGCCGCCGTGCGGATGCACGTTGTCCACACATCCCTGCAGATTCTCAAGCTCCAGCCACCTTCGGTGAGTGCAGCATCCCATAAGAAGCCTTAAATAAAAATAAAACAGAGAAATAACCCGGCACGTGCTGCGCTGAGCATCGCCCCCCCAAAGGAAACTCGTGGGTGGAAGGGAAGCCGTCGTGCCTGG